ACATTCCAGATAAAGCCAGCCATGGTCCAAATGATGTTGAATAATCAGTTTGGAGGATCAAAGGCTGAAAATCCGAGAGAACACATGTTGTGGTTCTCACGAGTGTGCCAAACTTTCAAGGTTAATGGTCTGACAATGGACCATATCAAACTGTCTCTATTCCCTTTCTCGTTACGAGATCGGGCGGCAAGATGGTTACATAGCTTTCCCCACGAACACTTCAAGACTTGGGAAGCCCTTCACAAGGCTTTCATGCACGAATATTTCCCTCCTTTTGCTATCATGAAGATCAAAAATTCGATTCAAAATTTCCGTCAAGCCGCGACAGAATCCTTGAGCGAAGCTTGGGAACGTTACAAAGAATTGAAGGTTAAATGCCCAGCGGCACTATTTAATGCTTACAGTTTGATGTTCTACTTCTATCAAGGCTTAACTATTCCATCCAAGAAAGAGCTTGACTTTTTATCGAAGTTAGGATCCTTTCTGGACATGTCTCTTGAAGAGGATGAGGAATTAGTTGATCGTCTGACCTCAAGTGCCAAATATTGGTATGACGATCGAGCTCCTCAACCTAAGGCAGGAATGTATGAAGTAGATCAATTCATTGCGTTAAAGGCTAGTATGGAAAGCATACTAAAACAAACTATCAAAGAGCATTTAGGAGCGCCTAGTTCGTGACCTCAACAACAATACGCTGAGCCAGTGAACCAAGCTGAAAGCTATAATCATGGAGGCTACCAATCCTCTGATTTGGTTTTGTCTTGTGAAATATGCCTTGCAAATCATCTAACCTTTCAATGCTCCATGTACGAACCACCTCCCCCAACTAAGTCTAAAGAAGCTAATTTTGCACAATATGCCAATAAGAGAGAGGGACCATGGGCGCCGAACAATCAAGATTCCTGGCGTGAAAGAAATAACTTTCAAAGAAATAATCGCCCAAGAGACGATTATAAACAAGGAAATTGGAACAACAATAAGGGAGGTAATTATCAACCTTATGTTCCACCTAATCAACGCCAGCAAGATGATACAATGGCGAGAATGGAAAAGATGATGCAAAGCATGAACAACACGGTAAACAACTTATCCGAGAAAGTCAAAACCCAGGAAGATCAACTCTCCAACGTGCTGAAAAACTCTTCGTTCGCGATCAAGGGAATTTGCCAGCAACAACCGAACCAAATCCAAGAGAGCATCTCAAAGCAATTACCCTAAGGAGTAGAAAGAACGTGCAAGGCCCAGTAATGGGAGAAGATGAAGAAAAAGAAATTAGTGGAGAAAAGGAAGTTTCCGAAGAAGAAGCTACTGCTGAAAACGATATAGAGGTACAAATCAGGAAAATCGCAGCTATAGCTAAGAGGAAAGATACCGCAGTATCAAAGACACCTCCATCAGCTGTCCAGAAAGCAACCATTCCCTTCCCTTCTAGGGTTAAGAAGAATGATGACGAGAAAGCCTTCAAGAGGTTTCTCGATGTCATTGGACAGGTGGAGATAAAAGTTCCTTTGATAGACGTACTAACTAAAATGCCAAAGTACTCCAAGTTTCTGAAAGACTTGGTAACTAAGAAGAGAGACTCGGAAAATCTCCCAGTCGTGAATCTCAATGCTGGATGTTCCGCTCTTCTATTAGAAGAAATGCCACGGAAACGAAAAGATCCAGGATGTTTTGTGATCCCCTGTTCCATAAACAACAGACACTTTAATGATGCACTAGCCGATTTAGGAGCAAGTATCAATCTGATGCCATCTTCTATTATTAAGGCATTGGGGTTGAATGGGTTGAAACCAACACAGATGTGTCTTCAGTTAGCGGATAGCTCTATCCGTTACCCTAGGGGAGTAATTGAAGATGTGTTAGTGAAGGTCAACAAGTTCACTTTCCCTGCCGACTTCGTAGTATTAGATATGGATGAAGACAAGGAAAAGCCACTCCTATTGGGACGACCTTTCCTTGCTACTGCCAAAGCTCTGATCAACGTGCATGATGGGGAGCTCACACTTAGAGTAGGTGCCGATGATGTTACTTTCAAAATAATGAGCGCAATAGAACACGCTCTAGACCCAGCTGAGTTCTGCAACTCAGTTAAACTTATTAAAGACAAGGGGTCTATTGAGCATTTATTGAGTCTCGAAGCCCTATTCTGCGCACGGACGAACTCTTAATTTCTTTCAATAACTTCATTAATCAATTGGGCATGAACCCACCCTTGTCGTTATTTAGTTTGGACTGAACTTATTTAATTACTTCCGCAATTACTCTGCACTTTTATTACACACGTTTTGGGAGTAACTCCATGGCATTTATTCCTCTAATTAAAACCCAACCATTTTCTTAATCATTAATGTTTTCGTAACGGATGGTTCTTGGACTGTCCATGTAACCCTACCGGTCCGTTGGGTCGCGGGTGAACCGGGTCCACGGAAGGCGGGTGTTACAATTTGGTATCAGAGCCTAGTTCGGTTTTTTTGAAAAAAAAACCACCTCTTGTTGTCTTGTTCAAAAGGTATTTTCAAAAAGTCCACAGCCGCATCTCCCATCGCATCACTCCTAGGGAAAGGTACGCCGTTATTTAGGACAATCGATTTCGGACACTTAACTGCAGTCAGTTAAGGCAATCAGACACTTAAACTATCACTAGTTTAAGGAAAATGATTCGGACACTTAACTGTAGTCAGCTAAGGCAACAACAATATAGCGATTGATCAACATTAGATCGGGCATTCCCAAACGAGTGATCTTCTAGTTTAGTCTATGAATCCCATTTATGCGTTTTTATCTAATTCATCAAATGTTCATGTTTTCAAAAGCCTGTTCTAATACAAGATCTATTCTAGAGGTCTTCTAGATAGCCTTAACATCAATTAACTAATAGGTATATCTTAGAGTTCTTCTAGATACCGTTTAACAATACAAATCGTTTAATAATTATCAATATATTCATTACTCTCATGGCTGAATCATCAATAATCATTTTGATCAGTTAGTTCATTATTCATGATCATCCATAATAATCATTCATCATAATCATTAATCAACATAACAATTGATAACAAATAGCGGTCTAGTTTTGAGTGTTAACACTCTAACTTACCGTCATGCATCACATAATGTTTTATCTGCCTAAAACATCATTTTTATTATACAAAATCATATTTGTATTGTTCATAATTAATTGTTATCAAAAATAGGATTTTAGAGCAAATTTTTAGGAATATTTTCGTAGCAGGATCTGGAATTGAGGAAAATAATTTAAAATAATCATTTAATTTATAAAAATTGAGTTATATAATTTTAAATAATCCATTAATTCATAATAATCGATTTTTACAATTTAAACAATCAATTAATTCATTATAATTGATTTTTACATTTTAAATAATCAATTAATTAATTTTAATCGATTTTTACAATATAAATAATCGATTAATTAATAAAAAATCGATTTTTACAATTTAAATAATCCATTAATTCATAATAATCTATTTTTACAATTTAAATAATCAATTAATTCATAATAATCGATTTTTACAATTTAAATAATCAAGTAATTAATTTTAATCGATTTTTACAATATAAATAATCGATTAATTTATAAAAAATCTATTTTTACAATTTAAATAATCCATTAATTCATAGTAATCTATTTTTACAATTTAAATAATCAATTAATTCATAATAATCGATTTTTACAATTTAAATAATCAATTAATTCATAATAATCGATTTTTACAAGATAAATAATCAATTAATTCATAATAATCGATTTTTACAACATAAATAATCGATTAAATGGTACTGACTTCGAACCACTGATCTGAATAAAATTCTAATTGATTTTTAGTAAGTAAATAATCGATTTTTGGCCACTGTTCATTATCTTCTTCCTCGGGTCAGTTTTAACATTATCATTTTTAATAACCAAACTTCAATTTAATTATATAAAAATGTTCTCCAATGTTCACAGATCATTTTAGAGTCATTAATTCGTAATTTTAACAACAATTTCATGGTTTATGATTCTTGGTTCTTCAAACATGTCAAACACAAAATTCAACCAAACGACCGTTTATGAACGTAGAAAGGATCTATACGAACATTCTAGTCACTAGATATATCTACGGGCTTACCTCCAAGCTTATCGAAGGTTTTGAGAATTTTCCGGCGAAACTTCCGGCAACGATAACTCCCAACTCCGGCGACTTCGGTGGCAACCAACAATATCAGACTGCTCTCCTCACTCTTATGAACACAATGGTACTAAAATTGTAAGTTTTGGTGAAGAATGAGAATGTTGATGATACTCTTATATAGGGAAGGGAAGGAGAAGGAGACGCAGTTGTTGCTGAGTCATTGACGATTCATGCTAGGCTTAGTGCGCTGGGAGGCGCCGTTCGCACAGTGTCCTGATTGGGACCAATTTTGGTTCCAGTCGGGATATACTTTTTGGTCCAACTTTCTCCGAATTAAAATCCGTTTTCACCGTTGCGATCAGACAGTCGAACTCTATCCAACGATATAATTTTTATATTCATTCGTTATACTTTTTCTGACACAACATTTTTGGGTGTTTGACTTTAACAGAGTCAAAATTGGTTTAATTGACCTTTCTCATAAAAGGTTCTCTCATTCAATTCACATCAATTATTCTCATGATTTATTTCAACAAATCATTTCAATATTTACATTCTAAACAAATTCTTTATCTACTCTTGATTTGGGTCTGTACTCGGGTTCCCAATCAAGACCACACAAATAGTCCACATATTGGATTTATCTCTATGAGACTTATCTAGATTTTGATATTAGATGTCAAAACAAATTTCATATCGGCCCAAAGCCCAACAATAATTTCTTTTAATCAAAACAATTGTGATTAATTGATTATTTATTCATTAATAATTCTAGGGTATGTTTTGGGGCGTTACAAAACAAGACAGTGACACCAACAATGAATGACTGAAGAATGAAGAAAATGTAGCTCGCACTAGCCATACAGCCTAGGAGAATATTTATCGATAATATCATTGCAACACAAGATAGAACTTGGATTACAAGAGGAAACTTACAGATGCAATTCTAAGTCTAGTCTTTCAGGATTCACAAACTCATCGTAAATAACCCCTGGACCCGGGAAAGCTTTAGCAAACTCTAGTTTGTCTAAAAGCTCATCAACAAAGAAAGAAGAAACGAAAAGTTTCCTCTGACTCAAAGACATGAAGTTCTGCCTCAACGTATCGTCTAGAAATTTGATTAGGTTATTCAAATAACCGTCAATGTTCAAGAGACCAATGGGCCTATTGTGTAACCCTTTAGAAGCCCACGAGATCAAAGTAAACAAACCTTCCATAGTGTCAACTCCTCCGGGAAGAACAATGAAAGCTTCCACGGCATGATTCATCTCAAAATATTTGTAGTAATTACTAGAAACTGTGTGCTCTACACCGTACGTAGGTCCATAGACCCGTCGTGTTGCTATGTACCCAAGAATGAAACTTCTAACGAGACCACCATTGGTAAAGACTGTTGAAGCAACAGCTCCTTGAAGGCCAACACTACCTCCTCCATAGGCAAGTTTAATCTTTCGCCTCATCAATTCCCTTCCGAAATCTACCGCAGTAGTCATAAACTTTGGATTTATACCAAGAGAATGGCTACCAAGTAGACCAACGAATCTTATGGTGTAAGGAAGTGTTCGAGAAGTTCCTTCCATAATGTGAGAATGTGAGATACTCTTTCCATAATCGTGATATATATAGTCTCTAAAACGGGACCACTGTTGGAAAAGTAATTATCACCAGCCAAAATTCGTACAGTAAAATGGATTCAAATTACCTGCAGACGAGAACGTAATCGCTAATACTACGATATGACGTATTGAGACTGTTGAACAGTTAAATTCGCTGTCCTGAAACACGTTCAAATCCGAGACGAAAAGTCAAAATGACTATTTCCTAAGACAACGACCTCTTGAGTAACTTTTAAAGAGTGAAACATTGAAGGAATAAAACCTACGATTAGTAACGGTAATTCGCAAACGCTATCTTGATATCTTGTGACTCATATCCTTCAATTACTCAAACTTGATGTGTTAACTACACCCTTGAAACATCCCGCTTGATCAATCTTGAAAAGATTGAATTCCATTCTTTGTATGAAAATAATAAAACCACGATTCTTCATTAAACTAAAGATGTTTTATGATACCGATCTTTGAAAACTATACCTTGTGGAATACGTGACTCGATCACAATAATAAAACTACCTTGACTTGAACATTATGCTGAACCTCTCTTTGTGGACCACAAAACAATCAATACAATTACGTTATCTCTAAAGATCATTATCGATGATCTTATTGACCAAACAAACTCCATTATAACCCTAACAAGGAAATGTGTATTCAACAACCAGAGAAGAAATGACGTCACAAAGAAAAGCTGAATCATTCAAGCGAAAATCCCTAACCTATATGCGATGTTGGTGTTAGAACTTGTTAAGATCCCTCACTCTATGAATTTATGAATTGAATCACGTACTAAAAATATTCTCTTTTTCCCTCGAAACGAGATCAACCATAGTGTTACAATCGAACCTGTCGCTATCATATCTAGATATGTTTTCAAAATTGATTAAAGAAATTTGGATACGACAAGACCTACATGAGACAATACGCGAACGTTATCACGTATAAATAAGAATTGGTACGTGGACTCATTAACGATAATGAGAACTACTATGAAGATGAGTGAAGAAATGTTTCGACATAAGGTCGATAAATGACGACCGATCGACAGTACCTCCTCATAAATGATGAAAAATCCGATATTCTGAAAATCATGGACCACTAAAACCAATGATGTACTTACGAATCATTGTTGAACTATGTGAACGATTAGAAGATAACTCAAGTAACTTGAGGAGGTTACGCTATGACGTATGAATTAACAACCTCCAAATCTTCCACTACATCTATCGCGAACTTAAAACTGCAAATGCTACTGAAGGACTTTCAAATAAAGGAAGAATATCGTTAATCGACGTTGTACAATTGAGAACTGTGAATGAACGAAGTGATGTGCAAGTATGTCAAATATGCCTCAAAATACAATATTATACCCTGCAAAGGAAACTTGGTTATGGACGTTTAATCTGAACGGGAACCTAGGAAAAGGATCGTTGGAAACCTTGCTTAATCTAAGATTGTTAATCTCTTGAAGAAAGAACGAGTTTGATAAACATCGAGAATACGTATCCGTGTTGTTGGGAAAAATATCATAGATTTTGATGATGATGTATTTAGAATGTAATAGGGACTTTAGGTCTCCCCAGATATTCAATGTAATTTTTTAGAAATATTGTTAAAACCAAGTTCTTGAGATTTCCAATACAGTTGGGATATTTCTTTAAACGGTTTGATGCCTGAAGACTTAATCAAATTCAGAAATTTTGGAAATTGGATATCTTGATCGGAAATGTCAGAGACAAGTAAGGATTTCTCAAAGCAGACAAAAATCCTCCTATCTGGAATATTACATGAGAACCGGATGTCTCGCTGAAGGCTAGGTCGGAAGACTAGCGCGGATTTCTCTCTCACCCGGAAGACTGAGTATGACTCTTCCGGATTTGCCAGCTAAGAACCGGATGCCTCAAGGAAGAACGGAATTCTCAAAAAGCGGACAAGTGAGAAAAGACTTAGAAAATTATCTAAGTCTTGAATGAAGAAATTCTACCCGTTGGTAAGGAAAAATCAATCTCTTGATTTTCAACGGCTAGATTGAAGATAATTATGCTGATTCAAGAACAAATGACTCGAAGACAAAGTCTGGACCTCTAAAAATTGAAGAACCTGACCAGAATTCCTAAACAAGCACTAGAAGACAAAGAGAGTAAAGTTCTACAGTCCAGAATTCTTGAACAACAGCTAGAAGACGGATTCTATGGAAAAAGGAATCCCTCCTTTAACAATTGGGGATGTCCAAACACCCATGAGGAATCTTCAAATCACAATCTTCATTCAAAATTGAAGCCAGCAAATGCAACGGATAGTCTATTTTGATTCAACGGATAGATTATCCAATCCAGCTATAAATAGCATCCTTGGAAGACTGGGGAGATAAGATAATAACTCATCAACGATAAGAAGAACAACCACAAAGAGGCTACCTCATTCACAGTTAGCCCAAAAAGCTTGATAAAGAGAGATTTCTAAACTCCTTATCCAGAAGCAAACTTCTCCTCCTTCCAAAAAGCTATAGTGTAAATACTTGAAGGTTTCCTTGCCTCAAGTACCACACCACGTTGAAGGATACATCTTTTGATAAAACTTATTGATTGAAAGGGGGTAGGTCAACTTTCTTACAAGTTGGTCTTGCAAGTCCTATTGTTCGGACCTTGCAGTTGTTGAAGAAGCGTGACCTTCGAAGGAACAACAAAGCCAGCACGAGTGCAGTAGCAACATTGGCCTTGCGAAGATATACCGTGTAGAAATTCACACAAGTGTAATTGTTGGTTCATTATTCAATAACCAACTACATAGTGGATTTTGAGGACGTAGAAGGATTACCCCACCTTCGAACCTCGTTAAAGTTTGCGTGTCTCTCTCTTTTATCTTTATTCTTACTTGCAATTATATTAACTGAGAAAACTAACCCATCCATATTGATTACTGCTCACTCTACCCACCAACTTCCGCACATAATCTAAAGTTCACAAGAACTCTAGATTAACACTCATTTTCACGTTTTCAAAAGAAACGAAAAAGTTTTTAAATTTGTAACAAAGTCTATTCACCCCCCCT